ACCTCTTGGAACTTGCTTCCCTCCTCTACTATCGCTGCACCTACTTTGGACATGTTCAAAAAGAAATTGAAGTCCCTACCTAACGGCTGAAGAAATAAATCATCAAAGCTATGACTATCATACTAACTTCAATATATTATGTCCCAGATCAAAGTAACAAAATAACAATTTTAAAATACTGCAGAAAGCATAAAATCTGATGGAACCTGGGGCAAATAGATAAATGCTTTCAAGTATTAGTCAAGAGTTATAACTGAAATTTTTATATCACATTCAACAGACATATAATCAAGTATTATTCTTGCTGCTCTTTTCTGTAGTTTTGTAATCATGCGGTCTATCATAATCTTTTTTGAACTCTTTCCCCAAAACTGATCGAGCTGCAATTGTCTATGTATGAGTCAACTTCAACATACAGATGCAGGATTCACGTAGTTAAGACCGTTTTGTGATTATAAGCATTGTCTATAAGTTTCATAACATTTAACTTTTTGTAAATATTTATTTGTACATATCCTATGCATGCACAGCATAACAAATCTGATGGAGAACTGGATACCATAAGAAGTAGAGTCAATTGACAATTTAGGTATGATTACTTATTTCTAGATCTTGGTTTGCTGCTTAGTTTCTTTCTACCTAGTATATTTTTCAAGATACTGAATTACAAAAGAAATAAAATGCTTCGCTGAGCCCAGCCTGATACGACAGCAGAGGACGAACCCTGAACAGTTGGGGCAAGTTTGGACACGATATTCAAGCTTGATACTGTCTGAATTTGGATTGTGATCAAATTTTTGACACAATATAGGTTTCTGACACAAAATAAATGTGGTCAAAGATCTAAAAAATTTGAAATGGGACATTTAATTTACCTAGTATGGTCTGATATCCAAAATCTAACAACATTGTTAGATTCAGCATATAAAAAAACATCAAACATTTTATTTCAGTTGAAATCAAACAAAGTTTAATATTGGACCCTTCAAACCTTAATATGGACTAATTTGAGAACAGGACCCAAAATAAAATATCTAAATGCACAATAAGATTCAGCATATCATAGAGGGGCAATAATTCAGTTTTTGATGAAATCAAACAAAGTTTAATTTTGGACCCTTTGGACCTCAATGTAGACCAATTTAAAAATGAGGTCCAATATCCAAAATAGTAATACAAGGTTAGAACCCCTAAAAATTAAAGACTTTAAATTAATCCCATTGAAATGGGTTAAAAGATTTGTATTTAGTTTCAATTGAAGATTTCTTGCTTTTGAGCAATAATGTGCTATTGTGCAATACTGTGCTATTGAAGATTTCTTGCTATTGCGCAATACTGTGCTATTGAAGATTTCTTGCTATTGCGCAATACTGTGCTGTTGCACAATACTTAGTTGATCTGTTATATACCCTGTTTGGTGTGTATCACCTGCCATATCAGTATTTGTTGCTTTATATATTAATCAGAAATAATCAATGTAAAAATGGAAAATATAATTTTTTTAAAAAACCAAAAAATTATGAAAAAAATTCCCCCCATTAAAATTTTTTTTTTTAAAATAATTTGAAATTTTGAAAAATCTTGAAGAAAATAAGTATGTACCCCCAAAAAAATCCCCCCCAAAACTTTTTGACCCCCCCTTGGGAGTATTTTCCCCCAAACTCAATCCCAGCCTTCCCTTTGTGGTATGGAACCTTGTAGTACAATTTCAGAGATATCCATACACTTAAACACAAGTCATCATCTGGAAACTAGAAAAATGCGTTTTTTACCCCTAATTCCTTAACATCTGGGGCAATCACCCCCAAACTCAATCCCAGCCTTCCCTTTGTGATATGGAACCTTGTGGTACAATTTCAGAGAGATCCATACACTCACACACGTTATTGTCCGGAAACTACAAAAATGCTTGTTTTAGGTCCCTAATTCCTAAACTGTTGGTACAATAACCCCCAAAATCAATCCCAACCTTCCTTTTGTGGTATTGAACCTTCTGGTAAAATTTCATAGAGATCCATTCACTTAAACTAAAGTTATTGTCCAGAAACCAAATGCGTCTTCGGCAGCAATGCCGATGACGACATGATAGCATTATACGAACGCAAAATTTTGTTTGCTGTGTATAAAAAGCAACAAAAAAAACCCAGCAAACTGGTTGGGGAATAAGTCATTATTTATGAGCAATTACTACTATAAAGAGAATATTAATAATTTCAGTTATGTTGACTCTTTGTATATCTTCACTTGTTGATCATTTACACTTTCTGAAGTTTCTCTCTATCTGTTATAGTTTTCAAGTGATATAAGCCAAAAATTTGCAAAAAAAGATGAAGGATATCATCTCCTAAAATGAGTCAATCAACAGTTTTGGTTATGTACTGACCTTATCTTGCTGTTAACAGTTTTCTCCCTTGTATATTATCTTAAAGAAAAGACCAAAAGATGCAAAACATTGTAAAATATTGATTTAAGGACCATAACTTCAAAGGTTCCTTTTTATTAATATTGCTCCTAAAGTATTTATGAATCCATGGCTCTCAAATTTCTTGGTTTTTAATGTCAATAATTTACTGGCCCTGGGTGGACAACTTGACACCACTGCTGAAGGACCGTTAGTCCCCAAGGGAGCCATAAAATTTATGAATTTACAATGCTCATATTTTTTTTCTAACAAGAGTACCCACTCTGAAACGTCTCAACTGCTTTACTGATCATCCCTGAATTTGTGTTCAAAATCTCCCCAGACAAAGGTTTCATTACAAGTGGCACATTAAATTAACATTATTAATGAGCCATGTAAATTAGGTCAAGGTCAGATGAAACCTGTCAAACAGACATGTACACTTCACAATCATTCAATATACAAAGTAGAGTTGACCTTTAGCTTAAGGAAAGAAGAGGACCAACCATGAAAATGAGGTCAAGGTCAGATGATCCATGTTCGACAGACAGGTATATCTTAAAATCTTTTAATATACAAATATGTTAAACTTACTGCTTTTAGTATCTGAGAAACAGACCAAACCACAAAATCTCAACATTTACCTATGAACAATTAATATCAACCTTCTCGATAGGGAAAATGAACAAACAAAAAATTGTTTCCAAAAGTTAAAGCTGCCGCCGGTCAAAAGAGACAACCAGACTGTTTTATAATATACAATAAACGAAAAACAAATATGACAGACAGCAACAAACTCTACCAAAGAATTATAGGCTCCTCAATTGGGACAGGCATTAAAAGTAAGTGTTCAAAGGATCTGATCAATGTTTCTTTGTTTGCTGATCATTTTTTCCCAAAAAATGCAAAAAAAAGGTTACAAAATATGATAATTATTGAGAAATAGGAAAGAAAGAGGATCTTAACATAATAAGCATTGTTTCCCTTCAGAATATCTCTGTGTATTTATAGTTTTCAAGATATTAAACTAAAGGCCCTAAAGAACCTGTGTCACTACCAAGGAATTATAGGCTCCTCAATTGGGACAGGCATTAAAAGTAAGTGTTCAAAGGATCAATGTTTCTTTGTTTGCTGATTATTTTTCCCAAAAAATGCAAAATTGTTTATACAAAATATGATTATTGAGAAATAGGAAAGAAAGAGGATCTTAACATAAGCATGGTTTCCCTTCAGAATATCTCTGTGTATCATAGTTTTCAAGATATTGAACTAAAGGCCCTAAAGAGCCTGTGTCGCTAACCTGGATCTGTGTGCATCTTCAACAATTGTTGGGTTGCTGCCACTAAATTGGTAATTTTAAGGAAATTTTGCAGTTTTCGGTTATTATCTTGAATATTATTATAGATAAAGATAAACTGTAAACAGCAAAAATGTTCAGCAAAGTAAGATCTACAAAAGTTTATATGACCAAAATTGTCAATTGACCCCTTAAGGAGTTATTGCCCTTTAAAGACAATTTTACACAATTTCTTTATCATGTTTTCTAACTTTAAAAAATCTTCTCCTCTGAAACTATTGAACCAAATTAAACCAAACTCAAGCTGAATGATTCTTAGGTTATCTAGAATAAAGTTTGTGTTTTATTTTCTGTTTCCTCAGAAAACATGGGCTCCATGGCTAAAAATAGAACATAGGGTAAAATGCAGTTTTTGACTTGTATCTCAAAAACTAAAGCATTTAAAGCAAATCAGACAAGATGTAAAAGTATTCATTAGGTCAAGGTCTACCTGCCCTGAAATTATCAGCCAAATCGATATCTTTTTTTTAGGTTATTGCCCCTGAATTGATGATTTTAAGGAAATTTAGCAGTTTTCGGTTCTTATCTTGAATATTATTATAGATAAAGATAAACTGTTAACAGCAAAAATGTTCTGCAAAGTAAGATCTACAAATAAGTTTCATATGACCAAAATTGTCAACTGACCCCTTAAGGAGTTATTGTCCTTTAAAGACAATTTTTCATAATTTGTTCATCTAGTTTGCTTACTTTAAAAACTCTTCTCCATTGAAACTGCTGAATCAATTTCAGCCAAACTAGGGCTGAATGAGTTTCAGAGTATCTAGTATAAATTTTGTATTTTATTTCCTTGTATGTCATGAAACATAGCCACTATGGCTAAAATGGAACATAGGGGTAAAATGCATTTTTTTTGCTTTTGAAGAAAATATGACAGATACAAAGAACATTTAAAAGGCATTTTTAAGCCACTCATTAATATACATGTATATTGAAAAGCAAAAATAATCATTGATGAATGATTTAAGCAAAAAGTTACAGGTGAGCGATTCAGGCTCTTGAGAGCCTCTTGTTCTTTTATCCACAGAAGTTTTCAACAAAAAAGCAAAAATGGGTAAAAATCACTATTAACAACAATAACTCCAATAAGGAGATATCTTTTCTTTTGCAATATCAGTTTGTCATCAACTTATGAGTTTGAATAACATGTAGTTCACAATTAAATCTTGGAAGTTGGCAGTTATGTCCATTTCAACCAACATGTGTGGTAAAGTGTCTATAAAGGGGTTTAAATAATTATCATAGAGAATAAAATTTTATTATGTCTGAGATTGTGTCAGAGGTATATCATTTATTGAATACACAGTATGATAAAATGGTTTGTTATGCAAACAGTTTTCACATTTTAATGGTAACATAGTCTCTCTCTGAATAAGTATATCAATCATATCATCTCTGGACAGTTGACGTGGTAATTGTCTTGCCATTCGCACAGCTTCTCCCTAAAAAATAAAATAAATTATTGATATCAATATGTTTAACTGTGATTAAATATTTCATTCATTTTTAGGAACTAAAATACTGTAAATGAATTTTACTTCGCAATACTTTCACTGGCTCAGGAATTGTTGCACTACTCAATACTGTTGTTCTGTTCATTATGTCTATAAATGCAATTTCATACCTGTCAACAAACCCATATTTTTCGAGTATAACCCGTGAATTACATCAACCAAGATTTTTCAATACCTGTCCAGCTCATCAAACGACCTGTTTTCACCCATATTCTAGTGCCATTTGACTTTCTCTGAAAAACGGCAAATTAGAAATTCTTCCATGACAGGAAGTTCGAAAATTTGCTCTCAATTTACACTAGATACCCTAATGAGGATTGTGGCACAGTTTGGTTCCAATTGACCCAGTAGTTTCAGAAAATATTTTTGTAAAAGTTAAAGGACGACTAACGCCAAGTGATGACAATAACTCACTTGACCTTTTGTGAGGCTTTGTCAAACATTTCTATTCTGTTTTTGAACCAAGTACATATAAAAATTATGCTTTGAGACAATGTATGGTTTACTCTTTATACTACAATTTAACTGTTTTATAAAAAATGCATTTAGACTGGTCAAATAGCAAAGTTGCAGTATAAAAAGTTGTATTAAACACTTGAACATATAACACGAATGAAATGTCAGCACATGTGCTATTGGATTGCTGTCTGAATGAAATGATGCTTATCACACATTTTCTTTTTCTAGTATTAATACTGAAAGTTGATTTTTGTAATTTATATAAACAAGCCTTTATAGAAATGTCCTTCTACCTGTAAGTAATTTAGCACTTTAAGAGGTCTTGCTTCAGCAACGGTGATTGCTTTTGTTGTAGATATAAGCTGCAATACTTCTTTCACATCAGCTTGACCATACACTGGAATGCATCTACTCAGTTCTGTTATTTTAGCTGTAAACTCTCCTTCCTCTAAAAAATAAACATAATTACAGTCGAACCTCGTTGTAGCGAACTCGTTGTGTCGAAAACTTGGATGAGTCAAAGTAATTTTTCGGTCGCGGTAACATTCCCATTTGATCAATGCATAATTACCTCTGATGAGTCCAACTCCATCAACTCCATTGATTCGGATACTCAGATAAGTTGTGTAAATTTTATAGTCCCGTCGATATAAAGTTAATGTAAATCGACCCTGATGTCTCGAAGTTCGAAAGTAAGAATTTTCGAAAGATGAAGACCTAATGATAAAAATTCAAATCGGAATTATTTCTTATGTAACCTAATCATTTTCAGAAGAGATTAAAGCTGAGTAAACATAGTTAAAATGACATGTTTATGGTGGCCAGTATTAACACCTTTGTTGAACCAAGCAGAACATTAGTGTGTTGAACTTATTTCACATGAGATGAAAACGAAACAAGTTTAAATGACCCAAGCCAAGATTAAATGAATCGTTAGAATTAAAACTCGTTAATTACAATAAATAAAAGGATTAAGACAATTATGATAAATTCATGATTATTTAATGTAAAGCAGAGGACCTCATCAGAGACCTTATTTCGTTCCGCGAGTGATTTCATAATTTATAGTGACTGACCTTTGTAAATATTTATGTAGACTATTGATTTTATTTGTGCATGATTTGTGTTTGTACTTGTGTGTTTAATTATTATGAAGGACCAAAAATGGAGATTGAATACACAATCATAAAGTGTCATATCAAAAAAAGGCACACTGTTCAAAGTATCTAGTTTACGCAAATTCATACCGTATTTCATGCATTCCAAATTTATGACGACACACTCGACCTTGGATGAGTTGAACCTTGGATAAGTCAAATCCTTTGGTCCGGTCCCTTCAACTTCGACACAAAGAGGTTCGACTGTATTTAAACTTACTATTCACATTTTGGTTTAATATTTTAGCTCTTTTCCTTACTCTGTGCTTCATGTATAACACATAAACTAGAAGCTCTAAAGAATGCAACTTTATAGAAAATATCATTGATTTATCACAAGTAGTTCCTATTAAACTGATTTAAGCAGAAAACTTAACATTGAAAATTGCTAATTATTTCAAATTCACTGGACCATGACCTAGGGGGCAAGACCTTTGATAGTCGTCAAACTGATATGTACTGATAGTAATGCAACTATATTGAAAATACCATTGATCTATCACAAGTAGTCCCTATCAAACTGATTTAAGCAGAAAACTTTACATTGAAAATAGCTAATTAATTAAAAGTCACTGGACCATGACCTAGGGGGCAGGGCCTCGAAATAGTTGTCAAACTGATAAATACTGATGATAATAATAGTTGTCAAACTGATATGTACTGATAGTAATGTAACTTTTTAGAAAATATAATTGAAGTATCACAAGTAGTTCCTATTAAGTAGACAACTAAACAATTGTTGACGCCACCAACACCGCCAGAAAAGCAACACCTATGTCTCGTCTTCAGCAACTAGGAAAACAAATTATATGCATCTCTGAACTGTGAATATTTCAACCAAATATACTTACTATCTACTTTATTCAATTGTTTTTAATGTATATTTGCTTGTTTTTCTTGTAACCTAGCAATTAATTCTGTTAGGCAGATTTACCTCTGTGGAACGTGATCCCTATGCCATTTGCTGTTAAGCGTTTATCCTGTATAACATTATATATACCACTGCTACACATCTGATCTGCAAGTGATGTTAAAGTTGTCCATAATGTCTCTCCTAAATGACTACAAAAAAGTACACTACATTTCAGTATGACTTTGAATTAAATCATAAACTAGATAATCATGTACAGGCAGAAAGGGAGAAGTCACTTTTCTACTTCTCAAGTCAAACAAAAAGAATTGGAGAAATAATGTGAGAAGTACAAATGTCAAAATTGTAAGATTTTTCTTTTACCGCACCAACTTTCAAGCATATTTAAATAATTATGAATTAAATGAATTATATAACTTTAGATAAATCCCTACTTTTTTGTGAGCAACATAGGTTGTTCTAATTTTTCAGTCTGTACTACATGGTTCGCCATCAAATTGTGGTACAGGATTGTCTCCTGTATACGATGTGGATTGATGAACTTAAGACAATTGCCATGGCAACCAATCCAGACACCACAAGTCTTTAAGGGTCCAATCAAATTAACATGTGATGAATTCTGTGACTGGCTAAAAAAAGAGTAAAAACAACTTCCTGAAGATTTAATTAATTTCTTCAGAATTATGTAAATCACCATTTTTGAAACTTTTTTCATACACATTCCTGTTTTACATCATATACTTTTAATATCCTAAATCTTTTTTTTAATTCTGACACTTTTGTTTGTATAAATCAACAGATTAATTTTCAATAATGATTTTATTCACTAACTATACTAATCTTGAATAATTAAAATCTATCAAAATATTTCAGTCTTGTAACATTTATCTGACCACTCTTTCCTGCAGCAATGCTATTTAAGTAAATATTTTAACTAAAAATCAACCTTGCAAACATTTTCTGTGAGAAGACTGTTTTGAGATTCTGTAGACTAAATGAAACATTCTTTGTTTTCTGTAAAGCTGATGATATCTTCTGTTTCAGTAACTGATCCTTTATAGTTGTCCATGACTGAATAAGACAATAGACAATCAGAGTTATTCTTTTCAAAGATATCATAAACTGTTAACGCAGAGATATGTCTCGCCTTTTTGTAATTTCAATAATGCAAATGTTGAAATTAAAATAGCAACACTTTAACATGTAAGTTTTGTAAATATTAGAAGTCAATGAACCATGACTGAAGGTACATGGCTAAAAAATCTCCATGGAAATGAGATGTGCCAACGCTAATACAACTGCATACCAAATACCATTGACTTATCATAAGTAGTTCCCTTTAAACAAACCTAAACACAAACTAATACCTGTAAACTAAATAAAATTTCAAAGTCAATAGACCATAACTGAGGGGGCGGGGCCAAATAATCTCCATGGAAATGAGATGTGCCAATGCTAATACAACTGCATACCAAATATCATTTCCCTACCACTAGTGGTTCCCCATAAACTGACCTAATCACAAACTAATACATGAAAACTAAGCAAAAGTTTCAAAGTCAATAGACCATAACTGAGGGGGCGGGGTCAAATAGCCTCCATGGTAATGAGATATGCCAATGTTAATACAAATGCATACCAAATATCATTGACCTACCACTAGTGGTTCCCCATAACCTGACTTAATCACAAACTAATTAATGAAAACTAAGCAAAAGTTTCAAAGTCAATACACCATGACTGAGGGGGCCGGGCCATATAATCTCCATGGAAATTAGATATGCCAACACTTATACAACTGCATACCAATCATCATTAACTTACCACTAGTGGTTCCCCATAAACTGACCTAATCACAAACTAATACATTTAAACTAAGCAAAATTTCAAAGTCAATAGACCATAACTGAGGGGGCGGGGCCAAATAATCTCCATGGTAATGAGATGTGCCATTGCTTATACAACTGCATACCAAATAACATTGACCTACCACTAGTGGTTCACCATAAACTAGACCTAATCACAAACTAATACATTGTTGACGCTGCCGCCGCCGATGGAAACAGCATACCTATGTCTCGCTTTTTGACTCCATCAAGGCGAGACAAAAAGTGATAAGACATAGATATATTGCATTCAGATAAATTTCCTCTTGGTGCTTTGCTTTTGTGCAAATTGGCATTTCATTTGCGCCACAAACCATATTTCATTTGCACCAAAATAATACATTTCATTTGCGCCAATAATACAGGTAAATATTATCAATACATATACTTTGTAGTAGATCTATATTTAAGAAACTTTTAATTATAATGTTACAACATAGTTTTGATAGCATAATATAACATATTCATCATAAAGCACATTCATCAATAAACCAAAATTACAACATTAAACACTTATTAGGTTTTTTTAATGCTGAGATTGTACATTTTGCTAGTCTAAAAAGTGACTGACTGTATCATTCATGTTTTTATAATGGTTTTGCTGTCAATATCTGGCTCTGGCTTTGCAACTTTTTGGGGTACATCTATACAATTTGTCTCTGTTTTTCTATCCCTTAGATATCCGAAATGTGAAGTCTTAAAAATTTATAGACGTACTTCTTCCTCTATTTGTCTCCAAATGAATTATGTCCATTCTGTCACCTCGAACATGTGAACACTAACAATTTTATACCTTTTGTCCCCAGGAAAAGTTAACCTTGGATGGATTTGGCTTTTTTGAGTTCTTTTTGGTCATATAGCAATATAGCTCTTCAACTGTTTAGGTTCTTATATAGTCTTGTCTTTTAAAAAAATAGATCTGCATGTTAACAGAACACTCAAAGCCCATTTTAGTTGAATATTAGAATTGGAAACAAAAGTGTAGAGGGACCGGACTAACTGAGGACTTCATATATTTTTGTATGTTAAAAGATCCCATTTTCTGTTAAAATACAGAATAAGTTATGTCAGACCACTTAAAATCCCAAAAAATAATTTATTAAATCTAAAAATGTAAACTGAAAGAAAATTTTGGTAGTAGTCTATTGTATTTAACATACAAAAAAATATGAAAAGTCCTCAGTTAGTCTGGTCCCTCTAATATTTTGTTTCCAATTCTTATATTCAACTAAAATGGTTTCATTTGTTTTGTTTACCTTTGATGACTTATTTTGTTGCTTCATTTTACTACAAAGATTTCTTTCCTTCTCAGATCCAATACTGGTTCTTTTAATCCTATAATTTGAAATTTTATTAGTTATTACTTTCTGTACTAGAGCCTGTATCCCTAATCTGTTATTTATCAAAAATGTTACAAGAGAGTACACACTGAAAAGTCTTGTCTGCTTAACTGATTAAAAGATTGAAATTTACTTTGAAAATCTTTAAAATCAACTTTTAACTAAAGGTAATTATAAAATGAGATCAAAGTCAAGTTAACAGACGGACATGTACACCTTACAATCATTCTCTTAACTCAATATAGTTGCCCTATTACTTATAGTATATAAGAAACTGACCTAATTACAAAAACTTAATGATGACCAATGAACCATGAAAATAATGTCAAAGTCATATCATTTGTCGGAAGGAATCCTTACACAACACATAACCAGCCACTATTTCATTAACAGATGGTCGTGGTGACTTTAATGTTGTTAAACTATGACACTTTATATAAAGAAGACTGAATTTGAACCGCTATTCTACTGCTTACTTTGTTTTAACAGGTGATTTTTTTTGGAAGTATTTATCCTTGTCTTCATCAGGTAAATCTTCCCATCTGTTTTCCAGTATTCTGGTAACCTTGTCATAATCTGCCAGAGGATTCTCAGCAATGACTGAAATAACAATATAAGAGTGCACATGCTGAAATGTGTCGCCTGCTTTGCTTATTTTTAAATTTATGTTGAAAGTCTGTAATATGAAGGTTTTAAAGGGGCATTAGCTACAAGTTAAAAAAAAAATTAAAATGTCAATTGTTCGTGAACAATTGAGACGTCTTTCCTTTCGAAATGTAAAATATATGTTTATATAAATAAAAAAATGCTTTGAAAAGCATTAAACACACATAAAACCCTGAAAAATTGTCAAAAACATAAAATTTGTGATCTAGGTCATGACCTTTGACCTTTGACCTTATGACATTTCTCAAGGTCATTGGTCCCCAGTGTCCTTGCTGAAGACACAATTGGTCTAAGAACTTTAGTTAAGAGTTAAAGCTAATTTTGTCTTTTCAGAAACCGTTAACAGCGGTTATGCCCCTTAAGGATAGGTCAAAACATACCATAGTTGCGCCTTGAAGACCCAAACATTTTTCACGATTGACGATTCCTGTACGTATAAGGGTTTCTGAGATATCCCAAAACAAGTAGTGAGGTAAAATGTCAAGGTCAACGTAAAAAAAGCTTTCAAACACACTTAAAACCATATAAATAAGGTCAAAAACACATAATTCGCCATTTGGGACATGACCTTTACTTTTGACCTTTGTCAAGGGCATTGGTCCACAATGTCATTACAAAAGACTCCATGGGTCTAGGAAGTTTAAGCTTATTTTGCATTTTCAGAAATCATTAACAGGGGTTATGTCCCTTACAGATAGGTCAAATCTCTTCGGTCAAAATGTAAAAAAAGTTGTGCCTTAATGACCCAAACATTTTTCACTATTCATGATTTCTGTAAGTATAATGGTTTTTAAGATATCCCTTAAAAAGTTGTAAGGTCAAGGTCAACCTTAAAAAGCTTTAAAACACACTTAAAATCCTTTAAATAAGGTCAATAAAACATAATTCGGTATTTGGGACATGACCTTTGACCTTGTGACCTTTGTCAACGTCATTAGTCCTCAATGTCATTGTAAAAGACCCCATGGGTCTAGGACCTTTGGTTTAATAGTAAAAGCTTATTTTGTCTTTTCAGAAACCGTTAACGGGGGGTTATGCCCCTTACAGAAAGGTCAAATCTCTTCGGTCAAAATATAACAAAGTTGCGCCTTAATAACCCAAACATTTTCCACTATTCAAGGCTTCTGTAAGTATAATGGTTTCTGAGATTATCCTAGAACAAGGTGTAAGGTCAAAGGTCAAGGTCAACGTACAAATTTGATCTTGAAAATACATGAATTGATGATCATTGGTGAAGATCATAGGTGGCTACGACTTATGGTTTCTGAGTTTAAGTGACATAACCCTACCAATGAGTCTTCTAATCTTTTCTATCAAAATGTAATGAAGAACCAGGTTATGGTCCTGAATAAATTTCACCCTTCGGTTTTTTTCTACCTCTTACGGTTATGGTGTTCACATCCCATAACAATGTTTTTGGTGTAAGGGGAGATAACCGCTATAAAGGAAATGTTAAGGCGTGGTGCCCTAACCACAAGATAGCTTTTGGTCAACCGAAATTTGATACCTCATATCATTTCAACATGTCACATACTTTTTTTGGGAAATGTCTGTTAAAGTTTGGCAAAGTTTGGCGGAAAGAATAATAATCAGAAGAAATACAGTAAGGTCTTTCCTTACAGTGAAAGGAAAGAACTTAATAATCAGGAGAAGAAATACAGTAAGGTCTTTCCTTGTAGTGAAAGGAAAGACCTTTATAATCTATTTTTATTTTTGTTCAATCAATAATGAAAGTGAAATAGTGAAATAATAATTCGGGTTTAGCAGCCAGTTTGGTTCAATTTTGTCAAATTAAGCTCAGAAACATCACAGATGAATTATTTACTTGCAAGTGAATAATTCGACATCATTGAATCCTTATTCATGTGACCTTCAATTTAACCCCTTAGCTGGAGATGGGTTACGCATGTATTCAGCTATTAAAAGGAAAAGAATGTCAACATTGAAAGTGAAACAAGGATGAACCATTTGATTGACTGATTCCATCCACAAAAAAATCATTCTTATACAGGTAAAAACGATGATAAACATACTTTTTAACCTACAATTTGAATTCAAACAGACCTAGAAAAACCAATTGCATGTGGTCCATATCTATTTATATTATATCTATATCACGTTATAAGACTGTTGGCAGTCTTCTTGGTGGTTAATTAGATGTCTAGACAAAAATACACATGGAATGCTGATACATATTATCGAGTCCATGCATTGTTAATTGTTTATTTTAGGCTTTTTGTAATTTGGATATACGTTTTAATATGTTTTAAATCAAATATGAGAATTTGAGTCAAATAGGTGAACATGAATTTGACAGCTAATGCCCCTTTAATACAAGTTTCACAAAAACTTATCAATGATCATTGAAAATGAAGTTAAGGTCATATCAACCCTGCCAGACTGTCATGTATACCTTACAATCATTCCATACACCAAATATAGTTGACCTATTCATTATATTATCTGATCAACTAACAAAATCATGAAACTTAACATTGACCAATGAACCTTGAAAATGAGGTCAAGGTCATAGGAAAACTGCCAGACAGACATGTACACCTTACAATGATTTTATACACAAAATATAGTGGCCCTTTCGTTAATAGTATCTGAGAAATACACCAAACCATAAAAACTAAACATTGTCCACTGAACCATGAAAATATGGTATAGGTCAGATGAAGCCTGCAGTTGGAAATGTACACCTTACAATCATTCCATACAACAAATATAGTTGACCTATTGCTTATAGTATCTGAGATATGAACTTAACCACAAAAACTTAACCTTGATCAATGATCCATGAAATGAGATCGAGGTTAGGTGAACCCTGTCAGACAAACATGTAACTTGCAAGGAAGGCATATACCAAATATAGTTATCCTATAACCCATAATAATTATCGAATGACATAAAATGTATATTTTTTTTTCAAGAAGTCACTGAAACATGAGGTCAGACAATGGACATATGACAGACGGAAACTTTGTGATAAGGTTTCTGCCTACAAGGTATGAAGCAGCCAGGTCTTCTGCCTTCTGAAATATAGAGCTTTTTTCAAATATTTAACACCCTTGCTTAAGAAACAACTGGCCAATGTAAGTGCTGCTGTCACAAGGAAAATATTATGAAGGCTCTGCGGGACCACAGCTTCATATCAGCCTTGGGATAACACTGAAGTTTATGTCAAACGATAAAAAGTTCTGGCCCAGACATGCCTATATGAGAAGAAACAAGAACAGCTATGCTTCCTTTATTGAAGGGGAAATAAAATTGGTAAGTATTCCATAGTAGGTTTTATAATGGTCCTCTCGTTATATCCTACATCTCCAATACTAATGTTAGAAAACTGAAATGATCCTTACCTCGACTTCTATTGTCTTTACAATACAGTATAAATGCTGTCTGGGGATGTTTAACAGGCTGACTGGATAGTATGTCTGATAATCTTCTTTGCCCTTCCTCCTGTTCAGATAGATATGCAATATTATGCTGGATGAAAATGTACAGTCATTTTCAAGCAGATCTGAATTTATTGCAATAGATTTCCAAATTAACAGAAATTTGAAAATCCTCTACAAGGTCCTTCCGCCCAAGGATCTGGAAATTTTTTCATACAATTTCGATCATTTTTAAATGACTTGAAAGTTGGGGTCCCCTTTTCAAACTGTCCAAATTACTAATAGATTCATGGCATCAATGAACTTGTATTGCAGTTTTGTTGCATTTACATCATGAAGTGTCTTACCATTTTTCTAAAAACTTCCAAGAATGACTTATGACACTTTAAAATTGAAAGGATTTTAATGACGTTAACAAAACGGTTCATTTCTCAGGAATTGCTAACACTACTTTTGATTTGAAGTCAAAATAAAAACCTGAAGTTTCAAGTTAATACTAATTTAGGAGTGATTCCAGACTCATTTACGGGATTCGTCCTATTTACCAAAGAGAGGAAATCATTATACTCTTTATCCTTTAACCTGTTAAAGTGTTTGAATATAAATTATAATATCTTCACTTGTTAATTCAGCATGAAATCATTTTGCATTTTATGATTAAGTGTCTAATCTGAAGAAGACAATTTCACGCATTACCTAGTAAGTAAAGCATACATTTGACTCGTAAAAAATTCACTTTTCCATGTAATTTAATAAAAGAAAAAAAAATTTGAATCCAAATTGGCGATTGTCTTTGCTGAACAGTTATTAGATAAAGAAGTGATCTTAGTATATGTAAGAGAATGATCATCCCTTACAAACTTAGAATATGGTAAAGTGCTCAAAGCTCAAGTTATCTCTTGATTGGTTTTATTCAAGAATTTGTTTCATTGTCAGTGCAATGTTTATAATTAATGGATGACTCCCTTTGTAGGTATTTCATTTATATATTAGTCTTTGTGATGTGAGGACTTACTTTTAGTTTGAGAAATTCTAATAAATTGTGTTTTAGACATTAGTTGACACAACTGTACAATGAAATGGTAGAAATTATATAAGTTTCGTAATTGTGAGTATGAGTGTAAATTATGTAATAATTTAATGAGGAATTATCTTTTTGTTTGTTTACAGGTAAATTTTTTAAATTCAAAATAAGAGTTACAACTAAATTGCATTCCACAATCAATCTTATTCCAGCTTTTTACATCAAATACTACTTAATTAACTAAAATTTAACAATAAAAAGAAAATGTTTTTCTTTAAGAAATTCAAAAGTTACATTTGTAATTCGATTTCATGTATGTACCGGTATATTGGAAAAGACTATTCCTACTAACTGCGGATTCAGTAATCTGATTTTTGGTAAGGGTATTAGCTAAAGATTTAGGTTAAATTTAATTTTAGAATTCTTTTTTTATTTTCCTTCTTTCACATTCCTTATGTTTTTGGGGTAATTTTAAGTTCGTATTATTCACATAATAACATAAACGATATCAATTATATTACACAAATAAACTTCAAAGTTATTTTTTTGTTATTGTTTTTTTGTTTCAAAGTTCAACTTTCAATTAATAATCCTGTCAATTTGATAAATGTGCTTTGGGTAGATGTGACTCATTCATATAAATTCTTTGTTTTGTACTATAAGTAGGCCTAAACAATAGGATAATCCCTTACTAAGAACATGTTTACATTCATTCTTCACAATTATTAAGGAAACACCAAATTCTACACTTTAATTGGTCGAGAGCACTTTGCTATATTCTAACATACTATATTCAATTTTATTACAGGAAAAGCATTTCTAAACAAAAGTAAGAGCAGTGCAAATTGAAAGAGACCTGATCTCAATGAAATGGCCGAAATTATTTCTGTAAAAAATATTTTTTGGACCTAAATCCCAATCTTCCATCTGGACATTAGCCTTTCAGTTTAGGTCATGTCTGGCAAATACAATCGATTCCAGACCCTTGCTTGCACCCCTCTTCAATTATTTTTTTGTCTTTTCTTTTTTTTTTGGAGGCAGGGGGGGGGGGGGGGGGGGGGGGGAGGGATTGCTACCAAAGTTGATACCAAAATTATTGTAAATCTAGCTCTTTATGCTGTTTGTCATGTGGATGAAACTTATCTCACAAATTATTTTACCATTTACCCATATCAATTGAACTGAAAACTGAACCAATGTCGTTCATATTTTTCAGTTGGGTTTTTATTTCCACTCTAAACGGACAAAAAACATTAATGAAAGTCAGATAGAGTACTTAGAGGACAAGCAGTTATTAACAATTTAAATTTATGTGGTTTAATACTAAGTAAAAAAACACAGAAATCAATTTGATGCTCAATATATTTTCTTGCCAGGCAGGGAAGGCATGGTTTCGAGTCTCACAAAACAATATTTTTTTCTTTCAACTAAAATCATTAAATAAAAACAATTAAAACAAAAATGTGTCCATAGTACATGGATGCCCCACTCGCACTATCATTTTCTATGTTCAGTGGACCGTGAAATTGGGGTCAAATCTCTAATTTGGCATTAAAATTAGAAAGATCATATCATAGAAAACATGTGTACTAAGTTTCAAGTTAATTGGACTTCAACTTCATCAAAAACTACCTTGACCAAAACTTTAACCTGAAGTGGGATAGACGGACGGACGAACGAAAGGACTCACAGACCAAAAAATATAATGCCCCAGGGCCCTAGGTGGGGCATAAAAAACAATATAAACTTATATTTATTTGTTATATTTAAAAATATAGCTTGTTTGTTGAAATATATTAAATTCAAAATATATGTTGCTTTGCTTTTTTTTCTCAGTATACATGTGCTTTATACAGACCGAAAAACATAATGCCCCTCTACTATCGTAGGTGGGCCGTAAAAAAACAAATTAAATACAGGAACAAGATCTTATTTTTAAATTTGTTTTCCTTCTTTAACTGAGTTATATTTTTCAATTCCCTTCTGGAACAGTTTTTTTTTTTATAAAGTTAGAATCAAGCATTAACTCTGCAATAAATCAATTTCTCTAATTCTTTGACAATTTATACCTTTCTTTTTGTATAAAAAAATTTAATCAACTTGTGGTTGCCGGTGATCTCAGAAGATGATTGGATGAATTTAAGGGTCATAACCTTCATCAGCTCAAAATGTGCTAACAGGTGTTAATGAAATTGACAACTTTGTGAAATGTGGAAGGCAGTCGAAGGGGGTTTTGGTTTAACAAAAATGAAAATGTATTTTTTAATCATTAGAGAAACAGATTCTTACATAGTTACTCGTGAATTATCGGATTTATCCAATCTCGATAGTTAAATCATAAATTTTAAAGTCCTCGCCAAGGCTCAGACTTTAAAATTGTTAATTCAACTATCTCGATAATCCACTGGTATCAATGTAAGAATCTATATTTATATACCTGCTCCCCATTAACATGATTAAAAGATGAATAGTAAGTCATATTAAATTCAAATATTTATAACATATTTAACTATCAACACAAGAAGATATTTTTAGTGATCACACAAAATATTTGTTTTATGAATCAAGAAGCATTTAAAAATATTGTCATTCCAAGCCCAGACCCAATTGGATCAGATAGCATTAAGACCAAAAGAAAAGTTATATGAGAATTAAAATCCCGTTTAATTTGCAGTCACCTGTCTTGAGTGTCTCTTTTTTTCAACCCTTATTACTTTATATTGTTATATAAAAACAAGAGTAGACACGCTGAAATGTCTCGCCTTCTTTACTAACCATTGATATTATGTTGATAGTCCTAAATGAAAGCTTTACTACAACTATTACATAAACTTAACATGATCCAAGAAAATGAAGTCAAGGTCATATAAACCAAACAAGAAATACATGTACACCTTACAATCATTCAATACACTAAATATAGTTGACCTATTGCTTATAGTTTCTAAGAAACAGACTTAACCAAGAAAACTAAACTTGAACAATGAATCGTGAAAATGAGGTCAAAGTCAGATGAACCATGCCAGGCAGACATGAACAGCTTACAATCCTTCCATACAACAAATATAGCTGACCTATTGCTTATAGTTTAAGAAAAACAGACTGAAACACATAAACTTAACACTGAGCAATGAACTGTGAAAATGAGGTCAAGGTCAAATAAAACCTGCGAGACTGACATGTACATCATAGAATATTTCCATACACCAAATATAGTTGACTTATTGCATAATAGTATAAGAAAAAAGACCAAAACTCAAAAACTTAACTTTGACCACTGAACCATGAAAATGAGGTCAAAGTCAGATGACACCTGCCAGTTGGACATGTACACCTTACAATCATTCCATACACCAAATATAGTAGACCTATTGGATAAAGTATAAGAAAAACGGACCAAAACACAAAAACTTAACTATAACCACTGAACCATGAAAATGAGGTCAAGGTCAGATGACACCTGCCAGTTGGACATGTACACCTTACAATCATTCCATACACCAAATATAGTAGACCTATTGGATAAAGTATAAGAAAAACGGACCAAAACACAAAAACTTAACTATAACCACTGAACCATGAAAATGAGGTCAAGGTCAGATGACACCTGCCAGTTGGACATGTACACCTTCACTCATTCCATACACCAAATATAATAGACCTATTGCATACAGTATAAGAAAAACAGACCAAAACACAAAAACTTAACTATAACCACTGAACCATGAAAATGAGGTCAAGGTCAGATGACACCTGCCAGTTGGACATGTACACCTTACAGTCCTTCCATACACCAAATATACTAGACCTATTGCTTATAGTATCTGAGATATGGACTTGACCACCAAAACTTAACCTTGTTCACTGATCCATGAAATGAGGTCGAGGTCAAGTGAAAACTGTCTGACAGGCATGAGGACCTTGCAAGGTACGCACATACTAAATATAGTTATCCTATTACTTATAATAAGAGAGAATTTAACATTACAAATAATCTGAACTTTTTTTTCAAGTAGTCACTGAACCATGAAAATGAGGTCAAGGAAATTGGACATGTGACTGACGGAAACTTCGTAACATGAGGCATCCATATACAAAGTATGAAGCATCCAGGTCTTCCACCTTCTAAAATATAAAGCTTTTAAGAAGTTAGCTAACGCCGCCGCCGTAGCCGCCGGATCGCTATCCCTATGTCGAGCTTTCTGCGACAAAAGTCGCAGGCTCGACAAAAACAGTACAAAAAAATCAGAGACAAGTGCATGTGTTTAAGTGACATGTCTCAATCCTTCATTTTCATCAATCAAGGATTTCTTGAATTAAAATCAACATCTATAAAGGAATGGAGGAATCATGTTTGCTAGTAATACTGATACTGATTGATGACCAACTGCATGTCATACAAGTTTTGGGACTTTGTGGTAATAAGATATCACATGATTATTTATGACAGAGAAGACGTCAAAATAGGGATTAAAAATCAATTTTGCTCACTAATCTAGCAAAATCAAACCTTAATATTATATTCACTTGGTAGTTCACTTGGTAGTGCAAGCAAAGCGTTGTCCTATGAACACTGTGGCACAAATTCTTGTTTATCTTCAGTAACATATTTAGTACACCAATTCAGACTTAGCTTGCAGTAAAAGCATGATTAAAAAAAAATTGGAAAGTTAACCAATCCAGAACAGAGCCTGCAACAAAATTCAATCAATGCCTGAGCATCTGGAAATAACCAATCCTGAACCAAATTTCTACCAGAAGCTATTTAACACAGCTTATACTTGGAAAGTACGTCATAAATAATAAATTCTGTTTTATAACAGTCAAGGGTCTAACTTAAATAAGTTATTAGAGAAAAATAACATACATGTGTTATTATAGATAATTTCATGAGTTGTCTGCTCTTTTTTTCTTAATCTGTAGTAACATATGTTTGTTATTAGTTAATACATCAAAAATGTTTTTATTTTTAGTGGGCTCTTGGGATTTCTTGAAACTTTGCGCAGAAACTTAATACATAACCTTAATAATTAATTTTCCAATTCAATTAATACATTTTTGATCAACCATGGTAAATCAATGAGACAAGGCTTTTAAGGGATACACTAAGCTGTAATAACAAGGCTTAGTTAATACAGGCATGTAACTTATAAAATGAGACACTTGGGAATTACATGGAATCTTGCCCAGAACCTCATTGCATGCTCTGATCATTATTTCTTACAATGAATTAAAATATATTGTGATATATGTCTGAGAAATGGCTTTGAAGAGATGTAGAGAAGCTGTAATAACACCCTTTAGTTATTACAGGCATATATTTTCTGTAATAACATAGGTGTACTCTACATGATTGGCAAACTGTGAACTGTTATATCTTTCTAAAGTTTAGTATACATAAAGACAATAATAATACCTATAGAACTTGTATACAATTTAACAAAGTAAAGGAAGTATATTGCCTGTTTGAAACATGTAACATACAAATGTTATCACAGTTTTTTTATATTTTAGCTCACAATAACGACATGTATGTTATTTTTCTTTAATAACTTATTTAAGTTAGACCCTTGACTTTATAACCTGTGGTATCACTAGTCTTTTCTTCAAAGGAGGACCCTCATCACCTTCTGACAAAGACATCAATCTTTTTCCTGGTAAAATGGTAACTGGCTGTAAATAAATTCATAATAACCATTGTTACTTTTATACAAAGTCTTAGCTTAAACACAGTCTAACTAAAAGAAATGAATTCAATATCATGTACCATGGACGTACGGATAGACAAGGGTAAACCTTAATACCCCTCCGCTATGGTGGGGGCATAAAAATATACTAGTCAACAAAAGAAACAATACAAGGCAATATATTTTCCATATATAATGAAATTGGATACACTGTACCAAGGTAAATAATTGCCCAATTGGTCTAATATTTACAGAGTGTTATTTTCTTATCAAAACCATTGATTTAAGGCAAATATGTGAATTTTTTGTGTCATTTTTGTTATTTCAAAAATCGTATTTTCACCCAAAAATTCAAAAATCGATATTAGAACTTAAAACTTTAAACTTAAACACATGGTCTACTTAAAATCTGAACTCCTTTGCAGATATTTGAATACTTAATTCTCATCTTCGAAATTAAGTGGCGACTTTTGTCATCATTTTCCGCAAAATAAATTTGACTCCTGTGTTCAATAACACGGTATTTTCTCACTTTCCAATTTGGTCAGATTCTTTTAGTCATATGCATTTGCTTTGCAAATGAATGTTTTTCTTCGGATAATTTAATAGATTTTTCTATTTATTATATTTTATGATAAATTGGAGTTAAAACTTGTGTATCGTTACTTTGGTTGACTAGTATATATGCCTATCATTTTGATAACTCAATCTAAATATGCTTCATAGAAAAAGAGAAGATGAGTAAATATCCCTAATATGCCTCAAAGTGAGGTACTCAAATTTAATTTGTAAACTAAAAAATCTCTGTGCTGTGATATTGAACAAGTTGATATTTTTAACAAGTGTCAGAGCTTAACCATTTGTGCTGATTTGAAGAGCAGTGGACTATAGAATAAAGGTATAAAAACTATATAGTTGTTAAATGTTGACAAAGTACTGAATTGCCAGATAACTTTCTATGTGAAAATAGGGAATCACAAAGGGCTTTTCAGTGTATGCCAAATGCCAAATTTTGAAAAAATCTCACTAAGTACCCCAAAAATTTAATCACATATGTCATGAATGTGAAAATGCCTCAGCTTACAAACAAGCAATCATACATATCCAAGTTTACGATATGGACAGAGGAATTGAAGAAAATGAAACCATTACTGCATACCTAAAATAAATTGACTATATCATAATAAACAACATCTTCCAGTATACCTGAATGTCTGTTGAATCATTGGTTAATGACTTTCCTCTACTCCACATGTCAGCACTACCTGATGTTGTCTCATTTCCTCTTGTTTGACAAAGATTTTCCTCATTAATATCATTAGTAACAACATCAACTCCAATACCTTTATTCTGACCTTTTTGACAACTGTTTTGGTTATCTGATAGGCATGTAGATTCACATTGGACTTCAGGAAGTTTAACTGGTATTTCTGGTCCATCTTCCGAAGGGGAATCTTTCCATGTTGATACTATATCACTATATATATCACATAGCTTAGGATTAGACTCAAAATGAATGTTACTGGGAATCTGATTGACACTTAACTTATTCAAATGTTTATTGGAAGTACCAGGGTCCTGCCCTTTCTCAATATTCTGAATAATATTGGTTGGTGTATTTTCAATGTCTGCTACATTTCTTTCAGTTTGTTTTGATTTAGTAGAACTGACATTGTCATTCTTTTCATTAATCCAGTCGTCTAAAGACTCCTCAACTACCTGGAAAACTGGTTTGCCTAATTGAGTTAATGAAATGTTTTCCTCTTTTTCCAAATCATCATTATAAATTGTGTTTGAGACATTATTTTCTATCCCTTGCTCAAGTTTTTCAGAAATGGTTTCTGGTAGGTCATGTTTTGTTAGTACTATATTTTTATTATCTGTAGAAATTTTGACAACAGGAATATTTGGTTGTTTACTAGTAACTGGAATTACAACAAGTGAGTCGTCAAAATCTGATGACATATCTCCTTTGTTACTGTCAGTATAAGAATTATCATGGTTAGTTGTTGTGTCATCAATCGATTTAGATATGCTACCATATAGTTCTTCCAATACAGATATCAACCCTTTTGTTATTTCTGCCTGTAAAATACAAGAAACACATCATTATTCGAGGGAAAAAAAAATTTGAGGGTTTTGTGGGTATGTACCAGGTGAACCAGGAATTTGAAATGTTCGAAGTCATACAAAATGTCTATAGGCTTGTATGAAGACTTTTTGAAAAAAAACAAGAAATCAAATATCCATGAAAATTGGCACTCACGAAAATAAATGAATCCACAGTAATGCTGATTATATTTTTTGCATCATAAAAGGCACATCTTTATATACATGGATACTTTACAAGAAGGTTGATCCAGATTTGATGTTTGATTATTAAGCAAACAATAAAGGACTAAGCTGAAAGCAAGCATAACATGACACATGTCAACACAGGAACTTTGAACAAGTGTCTATCAATAGAGCCTGTGGATACAGTAGTCCTTGATCTTCTTTTTCAAGAAGTTTATATATATATTCTAAAAATTCGTCTATAAAACGTAAAATATGATTGTGGGCCTTTAAGAATCTGAGTCACATTTTCTTAAGTGGTCATCTTTGGCAGTGCTGTCCATTATTTTTTATAAAAGTCACACTCATCTGGAAAAACTATAGGCCTGTGAGTTTTGTAAAGGTAAACAGCTGTTGCAAACTTAAGTATTACACATCAATCAATCTTTTGGAAGTTATATGCTCAAGTGGTTTGCAAGTAGGCAAAAAAATAATAAAATTTGAATTGTCAATATGGTATTAAAATTTCTCTATATTTTGAAGTTTTAGAACTGAGGTTTAGAGAATGATTTAACAGGAGAGTGCTCACTAAAATTTCTTCCCATCATCCTATACACCAAATATACTTTACCTATTACTAGAAATTAAGAATCTGACAAAACCATGAAAACTTGATAATTTAATAAGATTGCAGATGAAGGTATCTGTATTCTTGTGTGGAAGATATCTTTACTTTACCAGCATGAATTACCAAGTGAAAAACAACATTACAATAACTAAGATCTACAACTGTTTTCTAAAAGTGCATATCAGTGTTTTCTTTCAGTATAAATTAAATGATAAAATACAAAAAATATGCAAAAAAGCAAAATTTGCTGCAATCATACCTTTTGGTGAAGTAAGACTATTGTCTTGTTAGGATCAACATTAACATCAATCTGATCAGTTTCCAAGGTAACAGATAAGAAGTAAATAGGATGACGGTGGTTATCTGTCTTCTTGTGTGAAACATAGTGCTGTCTGATCAGCTGAAATCAGAAAGTATACAATTCATTCAAAGCTGTTTGATGGTAGTGTGGGGTCAACACAATGTGTATATGGATCACAACTCAATTGGCCCTTAATATTGAACTTTTAGTATAATTTTCTATTTTTAGTTATGGTAATGGCAATTTATTCTTTTGCTGGAGCATTCAATAATTCTTAAAAGGGAGCAAAAGAAATTTACCTTTGCTAGTGCATTCAATAATTCTTAAAAGGGAGCAAAAGAAATTTACCTTCGCTAGTGCATTCAATAATTCTTAAAAGGGAGCAAAAGAAATGTACCTATACTTTTGTTACAACAACCTTTGTAGTCCATATAATTATCCAAGGCAAAACTTCCAAATTGAAGGATGGATGGATGGTTCCTTTCTGAGCACCCAGTTGTAAATCAAATGCATGTTCAGGTTGAGAACATGAATATGAATCGTATTTTGTCTAGACCCAGACACTGAGTCCAATTTTTAATATGCTTGCTCACAGGGAGACATGTCACCACCTGGACACATGATTCTGACTTCAGACAAACCAGTTGAACCATCAAATGTATTTTACAAAGAGTTCTTATGTAGGAAAGCTGTCATACCTTTCTGGATGCGTTTTCTGTCTTGCGTTATATGATTGTAGGAATGAAGGTCAATTGGGTAAAAACCTTATCGTGCCTCATCATTACTGATTGATAATAACTAAATCTGTTGTTCATTATATGTTTACCAATAGATTGTTTCAATGCCTTACATTTACTCAAGCGTATAAAAGCTGAACTTTGCAAATATTTTATCAAAGAAAACTAGATTCAATATTCATTACGAATCAAAAGTTCATTGCTTATTAAGTCAAGTTGCTCTTCAGGATAAACTGTGTTAGTATAATTTTTTTTACCTTTTCCATATCTTTCAAATGAACTGGTCTTCTATTGATTGCACAAATACATCTGGAGTTATCAGACTTACTCGTAATTAATACATCACTAGCTGGATTAGGTAAAAACATGTCTATATTTATCTGAAAATGTAAAAGTTTAAGTAGAAATGCTTAATTTTGTGAGCACATATATTGTTTTTGTAAACAAAGGAGATTTCATTGGTATAAATCATTGTGGAATTTATTTTTGTATTTTCTGGTATGGTTTGGCAATATTTCACAATTCTTGTGGTATGTCATATAATAGAAAATAAAACAAAATATCTCCTGTATATAGTTTTTGCATTTTGTATATGCAAATAATTTCTAACTTACCAGTTTCATTTTCAAGTCTATCTGCCTATTATGTTCAAAATGGGAACATGTAAAAGTGATATTCATATGAACTATGTACTATTTACATTCTGAGCTTCTTTAAAAACATGCTAGCAATCAGGGGAATGTCAGCAAATTTTAAGTCTTCAGCTCTTACTCCAAAATTTTGCATGGTTGGTTTAGCACAGCAAATACCAATTTCCCTTAAAATACAGGTAAAGCATTTTGTGACATGTTTTAGGGGTAGGGGGTAGCATGACACGTGTGAGTATAAAAAAATTAACCTGTAGCTTTCACTAGATTTTATGAGACCTTCAGGTTTCTTGTTTTATCTTTTTTTATACACTAAATCAGATGTGAAAATTAACAGTTTGCCACACACTGTAGTGCCAGATTTCCAGTTAATCAGCATTTCATTAAAAGGCAAACAGTTGAAATGTTTGTAGTCGTGTTGTTGTAGTTCCTGTCAATATAAAACTTACCTGTACATGAGTTAATGCAACAGGTCAATATAAAACTTACCTGTACATGAGTTAAAGCAACAGATATACTGTAGTTCCTGTCAATATAAAACTTACCTGTACATGAGTTAATGCAACAGATATACTTATGTGTTATAATATGGAATGATTCAATTAATAAACCATAAACAGATGTTATAATAATAAGGAATCACCTTCGAGTCTTCTAACTGTACTGTCTTTTGAACTAAGCAATTCAGAACATTTCTACCTAGAATGCTAAGCATTGCTGTTCGTATATCAGGGCATCCATTTTTTTGAAATAATCTTTCCTTGTCATGATTTAAGGTGAAGCGCACTTTAGGGAGTATAATACTGAAAGCTACTAGCAAATCTTCAATCCTTTTAATTTCTTCTTTCTTCTTCTTATTTGTATTGTAGAACTGCCGTCTCACTGGAATGTTTTTGAACAGACCAGTAGCTGTTACTGTGGTTCCTAAAAATACAGGTAAAGCATACAAGGTATCAATCAATATTCATTTTTTTATGGAAAACTAAAATATGTGATTGAAAAAAAATTCTGAAGTAAGTTCAAATAATGCAAAACATATAGGAGACCAAACTTCGTGCTAATTTTCTGTATACAGATAAGAACCACTGCTTACATAAAACTCCAAACTGAAAGGTCCACATTTTAAATCACAGGTCCTACTTTTACATGAAATATTTCATAACTCACAAATACAAAATTAATGTGCTTTTGGTGTTAGGTTAGCTTGTTTCATCATATTTGAACTGCATTTAATGTTTTGTTAAGTTTACAAATATATTGCCAGTCAACCATATATCACCAAACTGCCAGTGTCACTGTGGTATAACAAGTATAATAATAGAGGTAATTGTCTTGTATATTATGAATTCCAATAATCTTTTTTTGGGGGGGATTGGGGAGGGTGTCACTGTGGGTGTGTGTGTTGTCTCAATTATTGACAATTATACTATAGTCTGTTATTGATGTAAAAGTGTTCACTGAAGGGTTTCACTTTTTTTGCAACACTGTATGCAGTGTTGAAGAGAACCTTATATCTATTTAACTGATCAGGCTTACATTGCTGCTTGCGAATACATTGTCCAAGTTTAGTGTCTGACAATAAATCTTTTAACTTAAAATTTGGACACTTTCATGGATCCAATACTTTAAACAAGATAAATGCTTGGGTGTCACTTCGTGTATTTTTATTGGGTCTATTTTAAGTGTTCCCCTTATAAGTGCACTTTCTTTTTCTGATTGGGTAGAGAACTTCTGGCAGTATGTACACGACATTAGACCATCAAAATATAGCCATGGTCGATTGATTTTACAGTGGGGCTTAAATTTCCATTCCAGTTTTTCACGATCATATTTTTGGTCTTTAGTGAGATCTTCATTTGATTTCTTATGTTTTGTTCCCAAGGAAGACGTTGAAGACCGTTCATCATCTTCAGGCTTTCTCTTGGAAGACGTGACACCAAAACGATACAGACACATTTTGTTCTGATTTGTCACGTGACATATCGCAACTATTTATAACCTTGTGTTTCCAAGAATATAAGGTTAAAAATAACTTTTATCACTCGCCGGAAAGGTCAGGGATGAAACATTTTTTTTTATCTCAATTTCAATTATAATATGGCTTTGAATTGACGATACTGATGGTTAAAAAGGTCGGCAAATTTAATTTTTATTTTCTTTCAAATCGAAGGTCTGTCGGGTGTAGCTAGTAACCAAAACGAAAGTCCGATTGCAACAGTGGAAAGTCATGGACCTCGGACCACCGCTAATTTGAACACCTGCATTTTCGCCCTATCTATAACAATTTTCAAATAATAGTTTAAACTGGAAAATTTGTCAAAAATCATCATATAAGGGCAATAACTCCTATAAGTAGTCATCCAAATATTTTTGTCATACTGGCATTTTTGTAGATCTTGTATTGCTGACCAATTTTGCTGTTTACAGTTTCCTAAGATCTACCTTATTATAGTTAAGAAAAAAGTCAAAACTAAAAAAATAGAAGTTAAGATCATTTAAAGGCAATGTCATCCAATGGCTTTTTTTGTAGATCTTGTATTGCTGATCATTTTCAGTGTTTAATACAGTTTTTACTAACAATGGCTGATATAATAAAAGAGTGAACAAGCTGAAATGTCTCACCTGCTTTACTGACCATGATTGATTTTATTTTGAAAGTCTAAAAAGATAACGGTGAAACCAAAGGTTTTACTACAAGTATCACAAGCCTAAGAAAGTTACTCTTTGCATAGCCAACCTCTTTTCAAAGGAATTTTCTAAACTAAGAGCAAATATTTGAAAAAAATTTTATTTTGATTAATCAAAGATTACAATTTAACTTCCCAAGAGGCACTCTCAATTAAAATCAACTTTATTTAAAGAAGGCAATACTCTAGCGATACTCGAGTACTCAGGTACTCATTGACATCCCTATTTAAAGGTTAAACAGTCAGAGATATAACTCTATAGGGTTATTACAGAAAATAACTTGTGTGTGTTATTACAGATACTTTCATGAGTTGTCTACTCTTTATTCCTTAAATTTTCTAAATCTGCAATAACATATGTTTGTTATTTGTAAAATAAATCAAAAATACTTTAATTTATAATGGGCTCTAGGGAACTCTTGAGACTTTGCGCAGAAACTGAATGCATAGCCTTGATAATAATTTTTTAATTATACTAATACATTTTTGATTAACCATGGTAAATCAATGAGACAATGCTTTTAAGGGATAAAATTAGCTGTAATAACATAGCTTAGTTATTAAAGGAATGTAACCTATTATATGAGACACTTGGGAATTACTGGGAAGCTTGCGCAGAACCTCATTACATGCTCTGGTCATTATTTCATACAATAAATTAAAATACATTGTAATTAAGCATGATGTATGTCTGAGAAAATGCTTTGGAGTGATAAAGAGAAGCTGTGATAACACCCTTTAGTTATTACAGACATATTTTTTCTGTAATAACATATAGGTGTACTATGCAAAATAGCAAACTATGAACTGTTATATCTTTCTATAGTTAAGTATACATAAAGACAATAGTAATATCAATAGAACTTGTATGCATTTTAACTAAACTAGTGATGTATATTGTCCCTTTGAAACATGTAACATACATATGTTATCATAGTTCTTTGATTTTTTAGTCCACAATAACAAATGTATGTTATTTTTCTGTAATAACCCTATAAAGTTATATCCCTGACTGTTAAAACTTGATAAACATTGATTATAGTTCAATACATACTCCAATGTATCATTTGGTGTGTGTACCAATGTGGTATGATTGTCAATAAGACAAATATCCAACAGAGACCAAAGGACAAGGATGTACACAACTATAGCACACTGTACATCTTCAACAATGAGCAAAATTCATACTGTATAGAAAGAATATGAATTATATTTGCTTATTGCAAGACATACTGTGGGAAGAAAAAGAAATTCCTTAAAGTAACAATGTTTCATTGTTCATTACCTTGTGTCAAATGAGAAGGATGTGATGATATTATCTGCCCCTGATTGTTGAAGGCATATGATAAACTGACCTCATCTTCACCAGTTTTGGTTGTAATAGACAATGTTGACACTGTACATAATGAACCTAAAAAAAGAATGATGAATTACATATTATTGGAGTCTTCACAAAGACTTAATAAAAGGTTATATACATACTTTGTGTGCATTCAATGATTGGAACAGTTTTATATGCACAATTGTATTGATTCATATTTGTTGCTTTTTGTTTTTCTCTGGTATTATTATGTTCAAATTAAATTCAGTAGTTTTCTTATTAGATGTTTATTGTGCATTTCTAAATGTACCATTTGTTTTTTGAATGATTAATATAGTATAGGATCACATGACATCTAGTGGCTGTCTATTATTGAAAACCATACAATACAAGAGTGCATACAGTGAATTGTTTTGGCTTTACTGATCCTGATTTTTTTAATGTTGAAAGTCTTCAATATAACTACAAGTTTCACAAACTTAAAGTCCTATGATCTTTCCATTTAGCCTGTGTTGCTCACCTGGATCTTATTGCATTTTCAACAATGGACTCTCTCCAACATTAATTGAATCATTGATTGATTAGTGTTTAACGCCACTTTCAGCACTATTGTGCTATTTCTTGGGGATCAGTTTTTATTGGTGGAGGAAGCCAGAGTGCCTTGAGAGAACCACGACCCTTGATAGGAAAACTGACAATCCTAGTCAATTAAGATTGGAGTTGAGAGCACCTGCCAGCAGCCACGTGCAGGATTCAAACTCACTCCAAAATTAAAGACTAGAATATAATTCTTGACTAACATCTCTTTTTTGTTGATCTTTGATTGCTGATCATATATTCTGTTTTCAGTTCTGTCAATCTATTAAATGTTTTTTTTGGGGGGGTAAAAATCATTATTCAAGGGCAATGATTCCTAACATAATAGTCTACCAAAACTTCAACCATGTAGACATATTTGTGGATCATGTCTTGCTGATAATTTTGTGCTGTTTATTTTTTTTATCTACTATAGTTTTGACCAAATATGCATAAATGGGTAAAATCACCATTAAAGGGCAATACCTACTATAAGCAGTCAACTGACTATTTCTGCAATCTTGACAAATTTGTAGATCTTGTAGAGTTTATTTTTTTTTTTTAAGTTTACAGTTTTTCTTCGTCTTTATTTTGGGCATACAATTGAAAATTGGTAAAAATTGTCATTTATGAGCTATAAATCCTATGAGAAGTTGTCCAACAATTTCGGTCAGGTTGTCCATTGTGGCCATAATAAAGCAACAATAATGAGGGCTTTATGCTGATTATTATTGCCATTTAAAGTTTCTCTTTATCTATTACAGTTTTAATGAAAATTAAGCCAAAATGCAAAATATTGATACATATCATCGTTCAGGGGCTATAACTCCTACAAAGAGTCACACCCTGATTTCTATAATGATGACTTATTTGTAAATCTTGTTCTTTTGATATTTTTTGCCATTTAAAGATTCATCTATATATTATAATCTTTTAGATAATAGGCAAAAAAAATGAAATTGGTAAAAATCATCATTTAAGGGCAATAACTCATATAAGGAGTTGTCTAACAGTAGGTAGATTACAAAATTTGGAAAGTGTGTGAGCAGAAAGTTGATGAACCAGGGGTATGTCAAAGAACGTCTCGTCCTTTTTCTAAAAAAGTTCATCGGAAGGTACCAAGACCTTGTTGATAAATATTCCGTATCAACTTCACAAATAATACACGATGGTCTTGAAGTATAGATTCTGCGTACTGACGTTGTTTATCATCTTAAAAACATGTTATAGTATTCTTTTATTTGTCTTTATTAATACTTATTTTACTGTTAATAGATATAAGAAGATGTGGTATGAGTGCCAATGAGACAACTCTCCATCCAAGTCAAAATTTATAAAAGTAAACCATTATAGGTCACAGTACGGTCTTCAACACGGAGCCTTGGCTCACACCGAACAGTAAGCTATAAAGGGCTCCAAAAAATTACTAGTGTAAAACCATTCAAACGGAAATCCAACGGTCTAATCTATATAAAAAACGAGAAACGAGAAACACTTATGAACCACATCAACAAACGACAACTACTGAACATCAGATTCCTGACTTAGGACAGGTGCAAACAAATGCAGCGGGTTTAAATGTTTTAATGGTACCAAACTTTCACCCTTTTTCTGAAATAATAGTGTAACATCACAACATAGAAAGACACACTGTAAAATATCAACTGAAATAGCTTAACTCAATCAAAGGACATATTAACACCATTGAACATACACTGAACAAATAAATTTGACCTATGACACAATGTAAATACAAAATAAATAAACTAAGGGAAGAATAATAAAAGTAACATGTATATCGGTAAGAAATGTTAAACAATTAAAGAAAAACAATATGCTCGAACAAAAATATCATCCATTTGCAATAACTTTAAACACAGGTAAATGAAAATAATTTAAGTCTGTTTTTTGAGATATCCATTTGACGTGACTCTGTACTTATGTATCCCATCATACTTTGAACAACAAAATTATTTTATTCATTAATATTACTTTTACTGTTAAGTCTGTTTTTTGAGATATCCATTTTACGTGACTCCGTACTTATGTATCCAGTCATACTTTGAACAACAAAATTATTTCATGTCTACCTATGCCAATTTCAAACGCGCGATTTTACACCAGTACTTAAAACCTTCCATCCTTTATGAGTGGATTTTACATAGATAAATATAATCGTATAATAATAAAGCAAAATGAGGATGTTAAATTTGATGTATGCCTTTTTGTGCTTCTTCGTTACATTTGTTTGTTTTTATAGTGGTTAAGATGATAACACAATGTTGACTGCTGTACCCCTATTTTTGACATTTTTACCTATTGTGTCTGTTTGTTTTGTTCACGCATCGTTGTTAATATAATGGAATTTGATGCGACTGTCATACAAGTGAGAGGTTTAGCTAGCTATAAAACCAGGTTCAATCCACCATTTTCTACATAAGAAAATGCCTGTACCAAGTCAGGAATATGACAGTTGTTATCCATTTGTTTGATGTGTTTGGGCTTTTGATTTTGCCTTTTGATTAGGGCCTTTATTTAGAGAGATAAAGGATACAAAATATACAGTTAAGTCTGCCTCATATCTTGACTTACATCTAGAAATGGACAATGAGGGTCGGTTGAAAACAAAACTTTACTACAAAAGAGATGATTTTGGCATCCCATTTGTGACCCTTCCAGTTTTGTAAAACCAAGAGTTCCAAATGGTGAAGATGAAATCATCACTTCGTGTTCCTTATGTCGTAACTACAATCCCGTTCCCTTTTCATGAATGTGACCTACCCAATTAGACTATTTACCGGCTTTGTAATAACATGAGCAACACGACGGATGCCACATGTGGAGCAGGATCTGCTTGTCCTTCCAGAGCACCTGAGATCATCCCCAGTTTTTGGTGGGGTTCATGTTGCTGTTGTACCCCTATTTTTGACATGTTTACCTATTGTGTCTGTTTGTTTTGTTCACACATCGTTGTTAATATAATGGAATTTGATGCGACTGTCATACAAGTGAGAGGTTTAGGAATATGACAGTTGTTATCCATTCGTTCGATGTGTTTGAGCTTTTGATTTTGCCATTTGATTAGGGACTTCCCTTTTTGAATTTTCCTCGGAGTTCAGTATTTTTGTAATTTTACATTTTTCTGTCCTGTCAGAATTTCTCTATCGATAGCGGTTTTCAAGGTAATGGACAAAACTTGCATTTTACCCCTCTGTTCAATTTTAGCCTTGTTGGTTGGAAGGCTGGATAATCTGACAATTTTTTTTTACTAGATACCCAAATGGTAATTGTGGTCCTGTAGCTTCAAAGGAAAGAATTTTTTTAAAAGTTAACAGTTAATGTTGACAACAGAGAACAAGCGTTGAGAATACACAAGTGAGCTAAAAATTAAAAAGCATTTACCCAAAGCCTCTCCTCTAAACCCATATGTTTGTAAATGCTGAATGTCACTGAAAGATTCTATTTTTGATGTATGGTATCTCTTCGCAACAAATGGAACATTCTGGGTGGGTATACCAATTCCATTATCCCTCACTTCAACTTTATCCAACCCATAATTTTCCTGAATAAAAGAAACAATTTGTGTGGTTAATCAAGATATTATGCTTTTTTCCACAACATCAAAAATGCAGTTTTAAATTGTGGAATGTTAAATTTCAAAGCATGTTTAAGAAAAAATTGTCATGAACAATGATGAAATATAAAATAATAGAATGATTCCATAATTTTGTAAAAGTAGTTCATCTTGGACTAAATAAATTAATATTAATAATTAACTCCAAGGGTAAAAGAAGATACATAACTAGAGGCTCCCAAGAGCCTGTGTCGCTCACCTGTATCTACTGTTGTTTTCGAAATCATGTAAAATAAGGTTAAAATCATAATTAATAGTATTAGATACCCTAATAATGACTGAGGCCAAGTTTGGTTTAATTTGCCCTAGTAGTTAAATTAAAAGCAGGCCATTCCATTGTAGTTTTACAATAGTTACTGAAGACCCCTTATCATTATTCAAATTAGTTTTCAAGTTGTGACCATTTGAAATTGTTTTTTTACAATTTTCCCTTAGACTTCTATATATAGTAAACCCCAATGTTCTATTTTTAGCCATGGCGGCCATGTCGGTTGGATGACAGGGTCATCGGATACATTTTTCAATCAAGATACCCTATCGAAAATTGTGGCTAAGTTTAATTCTATTTGGCCCAGTATATTAAGTGGAGAAGATTTTTGTAAAAGATTACAAATTTTTTTTAAAAATTGACTATAAAGGGCAATAACTCCTAAAGGGGTCAATTGACAATTTTGGTTATATTGACTTATTTGTAGATCTTACTTTTCTGAACATTATTGCTGTTTACAATATCTATCTATAATAATATTCATATTCAAACTGCAAGTGAAACTGCGAACTACTGCTCACTGATGATACCCAGGCCCAAATATTTCGGTAAACAGGAAGTTGTTGAGTGATGAATCTGAAAACGCATCACACGGTATATAAATCCTGAAACCAAATTCATGAAATCCTTATGATGTAGTTCCTGAGAAAGCTGCGACGAAAAATAATCATAGGACGGATGGACAGACTAACGGACAGACAGATGGATGGACTGACAGACAGAGGTAAAACAGTATACCCCCACTTTTTTAAAGCGGGGGTATAAAAACTGCAAAATTTCCTTAAATTTACCAATTCAGGGGCATCAACCCAACAACGGGTTGTCTGATTCGTCTTAATGGCATTACATGGCAGATAGATCTCAACCTGATGAACATTAGACTACTTAGACCACTTGGCCACCGAGGCCCCTTTTAAACTAGATACCCTAATGATGATTATGGCCATGTTTGGTCCTACGTTACTGGATTGACTAGGATAGACAATACTATAGATAACATTATCCATAAAGTGTTTTTTTTAATCAATTGTCGAATACTGTACCTGTGTCTTTTTTATCAGAGAGAATCCATGACAACTCACCCCACTGGCAAATCGCCCCACTTTTTCACCAACTCGCCCCACTCTTGTTTTCCAACTTGCCCCACTTATGAAAAAGGGTAAAATCCTGTAGAATATAAATCTGACAACTCACCCCACTTAAGGGTTAAAATCCCGCTGAATATAGGTCTGTCAAGTCGGCCCACTTATGAAAAACAGAAAAATCCCGATGAAATTTGTCATGCCAACTTGCCCCCCTTATGAATAAAATGAATATCTATGAAAACCTTAGAAAAGCATCATGTTTTTTGTAGTTCTTTTCTTTTTTGTTGAAATAAAGCAGAAAGAAGTGAGTATCAGTATTTCTGTGACGTCAATGCCCACTCGCCCCACATATGAAAAATAGAAAAATCCCGTCGGATACAGAAACTTGGACTTGCAGTTAGTGTGCATTTAATTAATTTCATAAGAACGTAAGTGGGGCGAGTTGGCAGGCCTATAATCAACGGGATTCCATCATTTTTCATCAGTGGGTGAATTGGCATGACAAATTTCATCGGCATTTTTCTGTTTTTCATTTTAACCCTTTTCATATGGGGGCAAGTTGTCAGACCTATATTCTACGGGATTTTACCCTTTTTCATAAGTGGGGCGATTTTTTAAAAAGTGGGGCGAGTTGGTGAAAAAGTGAGGCGATTTGTTGTGGGGCGATTTTCCAGTGGGGTGAGTTGTCTTGCTTCCATCAGACAAGTGCCTGTGGACAACACCATAACATAAGAATCAGGGCGAACAGATAGTAGGGCGAATGCACTCATGGTGAACAGGTATTAGGCTGAAAAGGTACTGGTTTGAACTTGAATCAGGAGGAACGGATATGGATTCTGTCTGATATAACAAGTATTATAGTAAATGTAACATGCCATCTGGGAATATATAAATTATGTCTCAGCATCAAAAAAACTTGATCAGCACAAAGTCAAAGCACTAACCAGTCTAATATCAATAGTTGATGCACCAGCATCAAGTGCATTTTCTATCAATTCTTTTACAACACTAAATACTGAAGTGATCACTTGAGTGCCCCCTAACAACCGGATTGTTGAAGCATTAAGTGCTGCTAAAGTCGACATTTCCCGCGGATTCTTCTCAGAGGAAACAATTTTGAACCCTTAATTCATTAAAGAGTTTTCCATCTGACACAACGATAAATTCCGAGACTCAAGTCAATTGTTTCCGCATGCGTTGATTGATATAATATTGTATATGTATTTCCGGTAACAATATTGTCAAATAGTGTACAAGGTGGCATAAAACAATAATTTTCAGCTTCTGAGGATTTAATTTTTGTTTGCCATGGTTAATTGAGTAAGTCACTTAGACTTTTTTAAATGCTTTAATATTCAGTGTAACAGATTTCTATTTTTAATGAAATCAATACTGAATCATTTTTGAACCACTCATATTTTGACTCATGACCAGAAAGTCAAAGATGAACATACATGTAATGCCTTTTGTTCTTTTTTGTAACTTATAAATAAGGACTTAAAACCAAATCCTTATATTTGTTTTTTACATGAAAGAAAAAAAACAGCATGTTGTTAAGACACCCTTCACATCTATTTTTAAGACTGTACTGTAAGTTATGACCTCTTCGAATTCCTGTCATTTGGTTGTTGTTGAGTTGCTGTCTTGAGGACATATTACCCACATCTTTATTTATTCATAGCTATATCATTATGAGGCAGATGTTACCCGAGAATTATATAATTAGGACAACGTCTGTTATTTTATTGATGCTTTTTGGTAATTGAATAAAAACCATATATATATAAACATTTTGGGGGGAATGGTACATGTATGAGGGTCTGGATGGGGTCTTAAATTTTTAGGTCATTTTCCTTTATTCTCTATATTTTGTGCCCATTTTGCTCTTTTCTTTATTTTGTTTAGTGGACGGCCATAGAATTTTGAGGGGGAGGGGGTGTGCAAATTTGATGAGGTCAGACTATTTATTTCCAACTTAGAGGCGACCAGAAATTTATTTTCACTCAGACCAAGGCCAGAATATTTATTTCCTGCTTGTCCAAAACGTGACACAAAAACTACTCCCACCCCAGAATAAAATGGTCGCCCCTAAACTAATTTAACTTTTATGATACAGATCCTTTTTTGGCAGGATACACATTGCATTCCCATGATTGCGATATCAAAATATAATAGCATAACAATCAGGGCCGATCCAGGGTCCTTGGAAAGGGTTATTCCAAATAGCAAAATATGTTTTTGGACGATTCTAAGAAAAAAACTACTAACCTTGTATATTTTTTAATTTTAGTTCATTTTTTTGTTTTGGAGTTTAGTGTGTCGTCACATTTTTGTTTAGGGGCCAGCTGAAGCCCGCCTCTGGGTGTGGGATTTTCTCACTGTGTTGAAGACCCATTGGTGGCCTTCAGCTGTTTTCTGCTCTTTGGTCGGGTTGTTGTCTCTCTGACATGTTCCCCATTTCCATTCTCAATTTTATTACTTAGAATCAAATGGTTGTCCCCTTGCCTATTTTTCTCTTTTCTTTTTTTTTTTGTCCTTTATTCTGCACTTTTCCCTATTATTCTCTATTCTGTAAAAAGTAAAATAACAAAAATACCGATCTCATAGGAAAATCCAAAACGGAAAGTCCGTAATCAAATGGCAAAATTAAAAGCTCAAACACATCAAACGAATAGATAACAACTGTCATATTCCTGACTTGGTACAGGCATTTTCTTATGTAGAAAATGGTGGATTAAACCTGTAAACCCCATCATGCCCATCCAGACCCATGATATGCTTTACAACATGGTAGCCTCTGGTAACAGCGTGAATGTGCATGTGCAACTGTTTAAAAAAATTAGTTAACAATTCTAAACTCACAATATATATGTATAAACTGTTATGAGGTCTTCATTCTCTATAAGGCAGCTAGCTCTTGATGGAATCCCGTGTCCTGCTGCTTGTTAACCTTTGTTTTCCTTTCACATGATGATGTCCATACTGAGACTATAACCAACTGGTTTCATCTCCGCCTCTAGTATGTGTTCTACAACTGATCTTTAAGTGCTTTTAATTAGTTCCTTTTAATACTACTATCAAAGAACTTATTAACATTTGTAATAAAGGATATGAAAACAGTGGAATTAACTGTTTTTGGAATTTAATTTTTATGCCCCCGCCGTATCGGAGGGGGCATTAAATTTTACCCTTGTCCGTCTGTACGTATGACCGTCCGCACGTCCCAAAGTTGGTTTCCGTTCTCTAACTTTAGTTTGCCTCAACCAAATGTTATGAAACTTATACACAATGCTTATTACCACAAAACACAGATCAAGTTTGAATTTTGGTGGCGTCACTATAATCGTTCTAGAGTTATGCCCCTTTACATTTGGAAAAATTGCTGAATTTTTTGTTTCCGTTCTCTTACTTTAGTTTGCCTAAACCAAATGTTATGAAACTTATACACAATGCTTATTACCACAAAACACAGATCAAGTTTGAATTTTGGTGGCATCACTATAATCGTTCTAGAGTTATGCCCCTTTACATTTGGAAAAATTGCTGAATTTTTCGTTTCTGTTCAACTTTAGTTTGCCTCAACCAAATGTTATGAGACTTTTACATAATACTTATTACCACAAAACACAGATCAAGTATAAATTTTGGTGATCACTATAATCGTTCTAGAGTTATGCCCCTTTACATTTTGAAAAATTGCTGAATTTTTCGTTTCCGTTCTCTATCTTTAGTTTGCCTCAACCAAATGTTATGAAACTTAAGTTGTACACAATGCTTATAACCACGTAATACAGATCAAGTTCGATATTTGGTGACATCACTTTTACGGTTCTTGAGTTATGCCCCTTTATAAACATAAAAATTGCTGAATTTTTCGTTTCCGTTCTCTATCTTTAGTTTGCCTCAACCAAATGTTATGAAACTTATACACAATGCTTATTACCACATAATACAGATCAAGTTTGAAATTGGATGGTGTCACTTTTACCGTTCTTGAGTTATGCCCCTTTATAAACATAAAAATTGCTGAATTTTTTGTTTTCGTTCTCTAACTTAAGTTTGCCTCAACCAAATGTTATGAGACTTATACATAATACTTATTACTTGTACCGTTCTTCAGTTATGTGCCTTTATAACTGTATATGATTTGCAAGCGGGGGCATCATCTGTGCCCCATTTATTTTTTTACATTTTAGATGAATTTCTTGTTTTTAGCTCACCTGGCCCAAAGGGCCATGTGAGCTTTTCTCATCACTTGGCGTCCGTCGTCCGTCGTCCGTAAACTTTTACAAAAATCTTCTCCTCTGAAACTACTGGGCCAAATTTAACCAAACTTGGCCAATATCATCATTAGGGTATCTAGTTTAAAAAATGTGTCCGGTCACCCGGCCAACTAACCAAGATGGCCGCCATGGCTAAAAATAGAACATAGGGATAAAATGTAGATTTTGGCTTATATCTCTGAAACCAAAGCATTGAGAGCAAATCTGACATGGGGTAAAAATGTTTATTAGCTCAAGATCTATCTGCCCTGAAATTTTCAGATGAATCGGACAACCCGTTGTTAGGTTGCTGCCCCTGAATTAGTAATTTTAAGGAAATTTTGCCTTATTTGGTTATTATCTTGAATATTATTATAGATAGAGATAAACTGTAAACAGCAATAATGTTCAGCAAGGTAAGTTCTACAAATAAGTCAACATGACCAAAATGGTCAGTTGACCCCTTAAGGAATTATTGCTCTTTTATAGTCAATTTTTAACAATTTTTCGTAAATTTTTGTTATCTTTTACAAAAATCTTCTCCTCTGAAACTACTGAGATGAATTTAACTAAAGTTGTAAACAATCATCATTAGGGTATGTAGTTTAAAAATTGTGTTTGATGACCCCGCCCTCAAACCAAGATGGCCGACATGGCTAATAATAGTACATAGGGTAAAATGCAGTTTTTGGCTCATATATCTAAACCCAAAGCATTTCTAGCAAATCTTTCAAAAGCAAAATTGTTCATTAGGTCAAGATCTATCTGCCCTTAAATTTTCAGACCATTCAGGCAACCCGTTGTTGGGTTGCCGCCCCTGAATTGGTAATTTTTAGAATTTTTTTCAGCTTTTGGTTATTATCTTGAATATTATTATAGATAGAGATAAACTGTAAAGAGCAATAATGTACAGCAAAGTAAGACCTACAAATAAGTCACATGACCAAAATGGTCAATTGACCCCTTAAGGAGTTATTGCCCTTTATAATAAATTTTTAACAATTTTCATAAATTTTGTAAATTTTTACAAAATAATTTCCACTGAAACTACAGGGCCAAGTTCATTATAGATAGAGATGATTGTAAGCATCAAGAATGTTCAGTAAAGTAAGATCTACAAACACATCACCATCACCAAAACACAATTTTGTCATGAATCCACCTGTGTCCTTTGTTTAATATGCACATAGACCAAGGTGAGCGACACAGGCTCTTTAGAGCCTCTAGTTTGATAATGCTTTTAATTCAGAGCACAGTTTTGAATTTTCAACTCTTTACATTACACTACCACACAATCTTTTAAAAAAAAAGTTTTCTTGTTTAATTAAATGGTCGTTTGAAAAATCTGATTTCAAATTTATCAACTCATATACATGTAAAGCCTTCCACTGTAATGAAAAATGTAAAGGTGCTAGCTATATACTTACTGGAAGTGTTATCAGATGATTAAAGTTGTCAATTTTGTCCTTGACAACATTTATGTAGGTTTCGGCAATAAAGTTTATTGACAGGCTGTTCACTGTAGGTATTCCTATAGGAACCGATTGTGCCCATTTAATAGCAGACTTGTTCCTGTACTTTTATGAATCACTGTTTATGGCCAAACTCATCAGTAAAGACCCGTCTAGTTTCCATTTAATTGATAAATTCAGCAACACTAATAGTTATCGTGATTATATATTTTTTCGATAAATAATCAAGAATTTTCTTAATACATGTATACAGCCGAAATTTATCGGAAAAAACTTACTTTAAATAAATCAAATATAAACATTAACCGTCCTTTCCTAGAATTAGGTATTTCAGTTTTACACAGGAAACTGTGCCCAAAAATTTATGATAATAATGACAATTTTTTGTTCCTATTGTAAATTTTCCTTTTTTGGAAGGTGACGTTCCTTGAGCACCGTCTTATGATGTGTATACAATGTATATCCCAACTCATTCGCTAGGCCTGTGTTCAAAGTGACGTTTTGGATTTCAATGAACGTAATCTATGTATTACTGGTTAAAGTCAAAGATTAGGTTACCACAAATGACTTAAAACCTTAACTATTA